GTGCTATCCACCTGCAGTATTCAAACTTGTTAACCATGATATTGCCTGAAAACTGTGTAACTATCATGCTACTTAATTTCTTATTTTACAGTATATTAAATGTGTTCAGCTTTTTAGTTATAATTTGTATCGTACCACACTTTTTAAAATCTAGAAACTCAATAAATCTTTGTGAAAGCACAAGTAATAAGTTAATTGGAGTCCTGTAACGTAGTGGTTAGAGCACTCGCCCGCCAAGCGAGTTCCTGGGTTTGATTCCCGGGCAGGGCGAAATGCAAGGATTATTTATTTATTCCTTTCTTCGCACAGCTCAGTTTACCAACCAGTAAATAGGAGCTAGGTTTTAGTCGATTGGTGGATCGCTTTTCTGGGAGTAATAATACTTAAACAATGTATAAAAATAATAATTTGGTCACTCAATCCACGATTGTTTGTGGGACACTGCTGTGAGCAATCGGCTGCCGCGTTTCACCCACAAAATAAATGCAGTCAGTTCACTTTACAATATATTCTATGAGACACATCCTTTGAGACACATCAGAAGTGATTAAGGCGCTATATCAAATGCAAAGATTATTATTAATAAAGCATGGATCTAGTATTTGTGCAGAACGGGTATAAATATTTTGGAATTGTTAGATGCGTACACCAATTGGCCATGCATTATTTCACAAAACGACATAAAATTTATACACGTGTAGAAACCAACTTAATTGTGACTTAAAGTCTTTTAGATTGTTGATGTATAATGCATATGTCTCTGTATCCTAACAAAGTTTCAGATGCAAGCAAAATAGATGTTGTTAAATTAGAACAAATGTCCTCGGTGGTGCACAAACTTCTTATCCGACATCTGTTTTTACTTGACCAGGACAATGTTTTACTGGATTAGATTCAGGGATTCGTTTTGGTGGAATACTTTTCTGAAAGTATGCCTTGAATAAGCAAAACTGTGTCATAGATGAAGCCTGTTAATTTGGATGGCTTGATGGAAGCAAATTTGCCTCATTTATTAAATTGTTACCATTGCATCAGTGATTATTTGAAAACATTGGGAATCAATTGGTACATGGTAATGGAATGCCCTCATTAACCACAACCTTATTATAATAATAATCCTTGCATTTGGTATATCTCCTGATCATGTCTTAGAGACGTCTCAAAGCGCTTCACGCAATAACCTGTTAAGTGAATTGATTGTATATTTTGTGGGTGAAACGTGGTAGCCAATTGTGCACAGCAGTGTCCCACAAACAGTCATAGATTGAGTGACCAAAATGATTATTTAAAAAATTTTTTTTTTTGAAGGATTATTACCCCAGGAAAAGCGATCTGCCAATCAATTAACAACCAGGTTGTGCTTGCTTAGGGTAAGGAAACTTGCCCAACATTTTGCTCTGCCCGGGAATCAAACCCAGGTCCTCTTGCTTGCGAGGTGAGCGCTCTAACTGCTAAGCTACAGGACTCTAAAGGACATCTACTAATAATTCCAAGAAAATTAAATGCTATTTGCTTTATATAAGAAGAATGTAAGCCTATTTACTCAATTGGAAGATAGGTCTATGAAAGGATATTTTATCCATTTGCTGAAAGATATTGTAATGTCTTTTATTTGAAATACGCACAGTGATTCATATTTGTACTTTTTAAAAAAAAATGTAAATAGCATTGGTAATGTCAGTTTGAAAAAGACTTGGGCAGCTATAGCAGAATTTAAAACTTTAATTATGCTGCCATCTACAGAAACTAAATAATCTCCTGCCTTATGAGCAAAGTGCTAACTCAATGTGGAAATCACTTTTGCAGTTTCCTCATTGTAGCATTGCATTTAAAGTATTAAATTCATTAAAACCTGAAATTTAGCAGTGTATATTAATTATTGTGGAGCAAATGATTATCTGTTTTATTGTAGAGTCTTACAGTGTATTGGTTGGAGCACTTTACTTGCAAGCGAGAGAATCCGGAGTTAGATTCCCAGGCACGGCAAAATGCTCGGCAAGTTTCCTTACTCAGCGTGCCATGGTATTAGCAGTCATCTTTGATTTTACAAGATGGTTTAAGAAGGCGGTGAAAGTTTATTGGTATAAAGTCACAAAACCTTTTGTTCAGTGATTTTGAAAATATTAGGATAATCACAATTTGTAGTTAATATCAGAAAAATGAAGTGTTACTAATAGCTATTTTGGACATTGCCCTATCATTCTCAGTTTAAAAAGCAGTGGAATGCAGATGAAGCAATGCCTAGATATAAAATTATTTGCTTGACAAAAATGATTTCAAAGTTATTGGGGGAATGTTCTGTGACTGACCGCTATCTTGGATTTTATCCAACTTTTGTCCAGATTTGAAAATAATTGGGATGATTAAGTGTAAATTCTCAGCGCTTTGGGGTGTCCTCCTGACGTGAAAGGCGCTCTGTATATGTAATTTTGTTGTTGTAATTTGACATGCATCACTGTAGTCCAGAATGCTGAGGAACTGCTGACCAACTCTTATCAGTTGCTTTATAAATGTGCTCAGCGGGAATGGAAGTGATGTCCTTAAGATGGAATCATATTTTCAATGTATTCTAGCCAGGATTTAAAATTTCCACTTGCTGTGTCGAACATAGTAACTTTACATGCATCAATACCTTTTATAAGTCTTTTAGAACAATATTTTGGTGTTCTTTGTACTCAACTCTATGTGAAGGCAAAATAACTAGAAGAGAGCATTGCGATGCAGAGTAATTCTATTTTTATTGTTGTCATCTTTCCTTACCAAAAAGAATGGGATTGGTTCCTTGTGAAGATTTATATCTTTCCCACTTGTATAGTTGGTGAGGCCATGCCGATTGCATTCTGTAGAACTGAGCTGTAGAAATTATGAAGGTCCCAGTTATTAATTTAGCTGAGCCAAACTGAAGCAGCAGTAGGGTGGCATAATTGGTCTTTTGTCCTCCCTGGGCTAGGAAGGGTAATAATTGGCTGCAGTTCCTACTCTTAGTTGTTATCCACTAATTGTTTTTTACAGCAATTTTTGAGAAATATTTAATCTACTCTGGGTTAACTATATGTTCCTCGATACAGAGTAATTTTATTTTCCTATTTACTTGCTTCCACACACTGTCAAGCATATTTGGTATATTAACTACATAGGTGATTGATACATCGCCTACAAAATACTGTCACTTTATAGTAAATCCTGTGAAGCAATTTGAGATGTCTGAACAATGTGATGAGGGGCTAAATCAAATGCAAGGATTATTGTGGTTTATTATCCCATAAATGCAGCACAAGAATAAAAATAAAAGTATTTAGACAAATATAAAATTAATTTGTACCAGTGTGGCCTGAGTTCCCAATGTTAACTTGATAATACAAGAACTCTTGATATGTGCATGTCCACACTCAGAATCTTGAAACTCTTTCTCTGCAAGACTGATGAATCGGTATCTAACGTAAGAAACCTCTCTGTGGACTTCTGCACCAGTAAACAAACAAACTGTCAGCTGTATTTCAGTAAGAACTTTAGCTGCTATTTTGGGGTTAATTATTACCTTTGCCTTGTTTGGTTATAATATTATAATTACACTGGAATAAAAGCTGTTTCAGTATAACCGTTCACAGAAAAAAATACATTTACTTTGCAGCGGAGCAGATTATTGTATGAATCTTTATGGTTGCACGTGTATACATCCCTGCTCTCTCAGAAACAATTTGTGTGAGCAGCAAAAAAAAATAAACTTGTGTAGCAAATAGTTTCTGATTTTGAATATTCACCCATTACCGCATTTTACAATACCCTGAGCCTCATGCATCAATTCTTTTCCTTTCTGCAGTAGTTCTTCATAATATGCCTCTGGATGTGCCTTATGCTTTTTATTACCCAAAGTACATTATCCCTGGATTGGTGGTCTAGCAATCTTGCAAGCCTGCGGGAGTTGCTAGCTGTACTGCAGTAGCTAGTGAATCAATCTGTTTCACAAAATTTACAAAAAGTATTGTGTCGATGAAGATTAGCAGTTAGAAAGCCTGTCCCAATATAGAAATGTATGGATTTTTAATAACAATTGTGCATTTACATGTTATTTTGTACATAGTTATAAGTAAATATTAAAATAATACATTAATTTTAAAAAATCCTATAGTTCTCAGCAGCAGCTATAGAAAATACTTGAACAATTAAATTGACAAAGATACTTGTCAATTTGGAATTGTTTCACATTGACTGGTGAAAATGAAGGATTCTATTTTTCTGTTTTGTTATTGTTTTGTTCAGCCAAGAAATGGCATCTAATATCTGTAGACTGCAAACCTGTTTTAATTTCGCAAAGCACACAAGAGTCCCCTTTTAACTACCAAAGTATTTCAATATCTTATGCTACGATTTCACAGGCATTGACATTTCTGTCTTTGGCAGTTTTAACCATTTTCTCTATTTGTTTTGGTACAGGCACTTGTTCATGATAGCCAGTGTTAGTGATGTAAATCTTGGTGTCAAATGTTCTTAATGTAATGGTTGTTTCATTGTCTCAAACACATGCCAAACATTCACTTTTAATGTATTGTAAAGCAGTAACTCCAGATATTTTACTAAAAGGTTATTATCTTCTTAGAAAACCTGATGGTATTTTTTTTATCAGTCACAGAACATTTCTTCTATGTTAGTTGGGTAAATTGTGTACATATTTAATGGGTGTGCGAGAAATAAATCATTTGCCATAATGTTTAAGATGAATTTTGAAAACTGGTAAAACAAATGGATATTAGATCACAGTGTTCAGAGATTTGGAAAATGTATCAAATAATTAAAACTTGCAAGACTTGTTTCTATGTTGCATGTTAATGGAATAGAAAATGATTGGCTTTTTATTGCTGTACAAATCTGGCTTGCGCATATAACAACAATAATATAAAGACACCAAGATTATACAGTTCCTCTTCAGCTCATTCTGCACCCATGGCTTTTATATTTGTCAACGACCTACTTCATATTTTCTTTACAAACATCTTGTTCAGGAAGGAGTTGAATGAATTACAGAATCTGTACAGCGAAAGCACTGAGCATGCAAACCAGCAGAATGAGCTTATCCAGCAGCTTCAGGCACTCAACCTGGACACACAGAAAGTGCTGCGAAATCAAGAGGATGTTCTTACGTCTGAGAATAAATCTTATCAAAAGGTAAGTGATGTGTATCTTAATGTAAGAACAAAGTTATAAGTGTTTTAAGGTTCCAAGTTCTAAAAGTTACTCAGGACTGTAATCTGTTTCAAAAGTAAAACTAACACTTCAACTAAGATACTTTTGTTGTAAAGCTTGGTATTTTTAAAATAAACTGTTGTCAGTTTAGTGAAACTGTAAGATGCATGCATGTTCAGGCCAAGAAGTTGACCTTAGTTTGCCGTGGAAATAAGGAAAAAATAGGAGCTTACGCACTTAAATGATACAGTCCTACTATATGCTGTTTTATGTACTATTTAAAAGAACACTTGAATTCTGTCGCTTAGTTCAATGCTATTCATTTTGTGGAAAAAAACTTCCATTTCCACCCTACTTTCTAACTTGTTTTTTGAGAGCTGCCCCAGCTTGTCTGGACCAACAGATTTAAGTAATGCAGAATTATGTACGTTCTTCGATCTCTGTGTCATGCTCACACTGCAGAAGTAGGTCAACCTAGTTTTGATATTGTGTTTGTGTCCATGTCACATTTTGACAACAGCTTGCACTTATGCAATGTCTTTCACATAGAATGAAAATTCATGTTCCTTAACAATTACAATGAGGAACACCAAGGATGGAGAAACAAAGAAGAATTAAGGATGTTGACCAAAAATTCATTCAAACTTTCTATTGAAGGTCGGGAGAGGAGGTTAGATTAGGTTTTTAAAAAGATTTCCATAGGGTAGTGACTGAAACCTCGGTCACCATTGGCGGGATGGAGAAAGTGGCGGAAAACAATAGACCAAGAGTGATAGTTACATGAAGGAGAAAAGAGTTGAAGGAGGCAACTTAGTAGGGAACAAGATGGCTTAAGTTTTAGTTGACATTTACCTGAAGGAAGATGAGGCTCATCCATGACATGATGCCTGACAGACATTTGGTCAGAAGAGCAAAGGTGGCAACGTCACCCAAGACCACTTCAACGGGGGCTCTTTGTCATCCCTGTGTACCTTTATACCACTGCCCTCAACCATTTCAGCAGTGATTTCTGTCACCTTCACCCAGGGTTCAAATTTTATTGTGGTGGTGGGGTGTACACCATCTTATTTTTGCAGCAAAGTGAACAAAACAATATTAGGTGCTCATTTCCCTTGATCAGTTAGCAGAGGTTACAGTCACATTTTGAATCTAATTCAGAGGGATTGTCTGATCACATGATTTGGAAAACCCTGAGCTGTTGCCACTGTTTGCAGCTGAGATCAGCAATGTGCTGTCTTTGGCAGTTATACCATGTGTTTCTGTCAATCAAGAGTGAAGCTGATTTTATTCACAGTATTGTTTGGTTCACAAAAAGTATACTGGTTTTACCAACAGCCTTGAAACAAATTCCCAGTTGTATTTGTGGGATTGTGGCAAGGGCATTATGTACGCTGCATCGTATTATTCAGACTTGCTCTCTAAGATAAAGGATTCTTACTTTCATCATGCCACAGAAAGTTCTCACCTTTGTTGCTTGAGGTGAGGTTAGCTCGTGACCAGTGCAAAATACTCCATTGCTCATAAAGTGCCCTTCTGTTGTTGCAGCCCATCTAATTGATGCAGTGCTTGCATGTAATTAGTCAATTAACTTATTTTCGAGAAACAGCCAAGGGAGCAGGTCCTTGTATTTTCCAGAACCAGGTCCTTGTACTTTCAGGTGAAAATTGAATAATCTTCAAGCTTATCAGTATTTCTAAGGGACTTGAATGTAATCTTCATAGGCTAATGTATCCTCCTCTTCAGTGCCTTAGGCTTACAAGTTAATATTTTTATCCTGGAAAACAATTCTGGTGCTTCTTAGTTTCAGGCACGGATTGTCCAACAGTCCTATTTAATTTGAGTCAGTGATTGAACATTTCTCATTTGAATTCATTCAATTCCAGGTTACTACAGAAAGCGAGTTCACATCATTCCATCTTTTTATTTTACTTTTCATGCCATCAGGATTGGAATGTTATTTTACTGACATTTTGAAGCCTTTTATCTGGGTTGTTTGAGAAGTTCTTTGGCGGCCTTGTGTCCCTGTGTTAACTTGCTTAACAGATGATGAAATTCATTCTCTGTTGCTGTAAACTTGCTGATAGGAAACCTTTGTTTCAGTCAAAGGGCACCCCAATAGATCTAGTCTATTTGGCAAATTTCAAGTATGTTTCAATTGAAACTATATGCAAAGCTACTACATGAAGTAATCTGCATACCTTATGAAGCAGAACTGTTTAGATCTATCATGCAAATAATTCGCATTTTGGCTGGTCTCACCAAGCAGCTGGAGTTTTAGCTCTTGCTCAAGGGGCTTCTTTCACTTCTTCCCAATGAATTGCTAGGTCTGTCTTCAGTGGATACTGAGAATTAGGAGGAGGAAAAATTATCTTCCTGGCTGGCACCTACATTCTTTGAATTAAGGCATCCTTTGCATACTGATCCCTCATCTTGTCATCACATCAATACCATACTTGCCCCTTTCCTTAACTTCAATCTGTGAGTCTAAATAAACTAAGATTTATTGTCACAGTATATTCTTTGTACCAAGTGGCTGATGACAGAATGTATTTAAGGAAGATATCCTTCATGTCTTTTACCTGGGAACATGGCATAATTTAAGCTTGCACCTGTAATGTGTGCACGGTGCCTCAGCTTGAAGTATGAGTAAGATCCAGATAGTTTGCTGATTTTTTTCCCCTTTGCATTGATGTATTTTTAATAGCATTCAAATGTTTCTGTATTTATCTTCTACACTAAAACTATATATTTTACGTTAGCTGTACAATGAGCTGAACGTGCAATACGATGCCTTGAAATCCAGTGAGGCTCGACTTCGTCAAAGTCAACTTTCCCTGACAGCTCTGCTACATCAAAAAGACCAACAGATAAGGCAGCTTCTTGAAAAACGTCAGGAAAACCTTGAATCTACACAATCTACACTTTACGAAACCACTGCTAAGAATGTAGAGCAGGTAAAGTATTGAGTATAAACAAAAATGTCATTACATTTGATCATGCTGAGATGGGGAAGAGAATTCTATCATGATATTTTGTCTATCCAGGAATAACATCTTACTATGAAAGCAAAATTGAAAAGTTCCATAAATCTGAGTTATTTTGGAATGACATGTTACATTGTTATGTGATTTCTGATAATATTTGTCTACTTTTTTGAACTATAGTACATCCAGGCAGTATTGTGATCACAAGTAAAAATACATAGCTGCCTATTTGACTTGCAAAGAGAAAATAAAACAGATTGGTTGTAGAGTTCAGATGCCCATAACATACTATTCAATTGACCTTCTGAATGATAAGAGATCACCTTTTGGTGGATTATGTTTAAATCATAAATGTGTCTTCCATAAATATTTTAATGGTTGTTGAAAGATCGATGTGAAAGTACCAAGCAAAAATACAGTATTCTACAATTTTGAAAAGCTCAGGAATTGGTAGTGTAGTAATTTGTTAATTAAACCACTATGATGCTCATAAATTCCTTTTGAAAATGCTTTATTTTTATTTATATGTTTTTTCTATAACTTATTGTGTTTACTGAACATATTCAATGAGTGGTTAGTTATTCTTACTTTTTTTAACCTGCTGACATCAAAGGTGATATCAATATGTATTGGTTCTTCAGCTACATTATAGTCCAATAGACTTCCAATTACTAATTCATAGTATCATACAGGACAAATGTATTCTAATCTAATTTGAAATTCTATTTCAACTTGACAGTACACTAATAATTCTAAATCTGCCGGTGGTTAGAATTGCATCTTGTGGTTAAGCCCCAGTAGAGGTCGACACTCTCACCTGTCGACCATTCATGTATGAAATATAATCAGTTCTCCACCAGGATGCAAGTTTGTGTTGGAGGCAGGGAGACCTGACAGAAAGTGCACTTCCTGCCATCTAACCTGTGGCGTTGCACTGCATTCATTGATGTCTATGGAGGACTTTCCAGGTTGTTTGATCACTCTGCTGGCTAGAGGGAGATAGCCTAGGGTGTTGTAAAAGGAAAAGGGAAAATTGTTTAAAAATTAAAAAAATGATGAGTTCATGAGTAAGAAATGGTTCTCCAAGTAACCTCTATTCATATAATGCACGAGCGCAAACAATGTGTACATTATATGATCTGGTACCCTAAGTGCATAATTTAGAGGATGCAAAATCTATGTTTATTACATTTCTGCTTATGAAGCTGTTCGAATGAGAAAATAATGTTCAGCAATTGACATGTTTGTAATTTTTTAAAAAAATCTTAGCATTGTGACTGTGATCCTGGTACTTGCAGAATGCTAAGGGCTGTTGGAAGTTTAACGTTTGAAATTGCTCTACATGCCAGTGGATTAATTATCGCCATCCATAATTTTCCCCGGTACAAGATTTAAAAACAAAATCAAAATGCGTACATTGAATGCAATTCATAATGCTGACTTTACATGTGTTTAAAGAATTGGTTACAGGTTTCAAATTCAGATTGAAAATTAAGTGAGTGTCGAAATGGATTGCTATTGGCCACCATTAAAGAATAATTGTTCTTTTAATGTTGACTTATAATTTGGAAAGTCAGAATAATGATAGCATTGTCGTTTTGCAAATGTTTATCAATATTGAAATGCCATCATAAATTTGATGGTGCATGCATAATTGTCAGTTAATTGCAGCAGAATAATAGTTACATCATCCAAAGGAGATAAAAACTAACATAGTTTATGGTCCAATTGTGGGATTGGGATATGTTTGAAGTCTGATAGACTTGAAGCGCTGTCATGTTTTATTTTACCGTTAAGTGTCACCTAGTGGTATTAGTTCAGAACTCCAAGATACATGGATTTTACATGGTAGCACTCTAGGACTACATGTTATCATGATAGCTTCGTGTTAAAAACTAAACATCAAAGCATCACTCTTAAAAATAAACACAGCTTCACATGTTTAAATGGGTTTTTAATCTATATCTCTCTTGGTGATAAATAATACTCCTGACAGTTCTGATATTCGAGCTGTCGTCTGTTTCAATTCCATTGTTTACTATATTTATAAATTATATGGCTGGGCAGGTGTTATTTGTAATAATTTTATTTAAAATCTGACTCTTTTGTTTAAAGCATGTTGATTGACTAAGTCGACTTGTACAGGTACCACTAACATGCAGTAATGTGGAACAAAAATGTATGATGGAATGGGAGGGAAGGTTGGCAAAAAGATTCCTCTCGAGGTAGAATTAAGATACGATACTTTTCATGAGCTGCTGTTTATTGCTATGAACTTCAAAAAGTGTAATTTTAAATTGGTTTGAAATAATATTAAATACACAGAAACTGATATTCTTTCCGACAGAGTAGTTTGGATTAGTAGGATTCCATATTGAAAAGGCACAATGCATTTTGCTAACAGGCTCTGTGTTTTGTTACTTTTTTTTAATAAACTGCCATTGGAATGGTACTAGAATTTTTTTCCCCTTCCTGTTTTGCAAACTGCAGAGTTGATAGTCGTGTTGAGGGGAAAATGTATTTGCAGAGGACCGATGTATTTTGTGTTCCACATACTGCTCTGTCTCATCAGTAGAACCCAAGACAATATGTTACAGTCCAGCGTTTCAAATAGATGAATAAAATCTGAATTAACTAAATCTGATTTTTATGGCTCAAGTGGTTTCATTAGACTCGAGCACACAGTGCTGCAGCTCTTTAATGAATGCATGCCATATGCTTTAAATGTTCTGGTCAATAGCTGATAAAAAAAACAGTATAATAAAACCAGGAAAAAAGATGTCCTTGTGATAGGCTTCTGTCAAAGGAGTTACTTTAAATTCAGTAAATACTATCAAGACAATATGGCTTGCAATTTATGACCCAAAGGTAGTCATACATTATTGGAATATAGCCTACTGAGCTTCACATTACACAGATGTGAAGCCCTGATTATAGTTGCTTCATAATTAACAGTGATCAGATTTGTTTTGTGGCATAAACGGTGCATGTGTAGAACATTAACCATGGCACTCTCATTCAAATTCAGCTCAAGGGCTCAGCGGCAGACGGGTCATGAGCTTCAGGGAGTAGAAGCACCAGCTCCTCCATATGTTCTTGCTGCATCTTACTACAACTACGAGTGCAAGATAAGTTCCCAAAAGAACCTAATCGTGTTCTGTAATTACAGCACCACTTTCTGCAGGATAGAAATGAGAAAAAGCTAAAACACTCCCTCATCAGATAATTTGTAAATTACTTTACATGGCGGATGCCTAACTCAGTTGGTTTCAACTGCTGAAATTATAAATAATTGTAACAGATGTGGCAATATGGCTGGCCTCCAATAAATGAGACCCTTGATAATATAGCCGACCCTTTGACAGGCCAATTTAATAAAATGTGAACAAAATCTTCTTACTAATAATTTATCATCCTGTTTCCCTATTGGACAAACTTAATTACCCTAGCAGTTAACAAGGTCACACCCAGATGCCAACCTCTGCTACAGTTTTGATAATACAATCAGCAATTGAGGGGAGATAAAAGCTTTGTTGTTTTTTTCATTACCTGGCTTCAGATAAGCACAGGTGGCTGAGCTTTCTTGTCAGTTCTTAATAATTATCGACTATTATGGAATGCATAGTTAGCATATTGAAGAGTAAGCATTAGCTTTTTTTAAATATGACTGAGGTGCTAACGTATATTGGGGAATAGGCCCCGTGTGACTGAGGAACTTGTGTACTCGGAAACGTTGCGCATTATCTGAGCGGGTATGGGACACTTACATTTTTGGTTCCTTTCGTTTCACAAGCAAAGACGCTGCTCTATTTGCCATTGACATTGTAATGCTATTGCGTGGAACAATTTATTTTTAGCTCATCTCTTGTAAAATTGTCTATTGAACTTTGTGGCAAATATTTGAGCAGATTGCTGGAGGCAGTGGTATTTTCTTTTGCTATTTACCTTTTTGCAAATGTGCAAAAGTGAATTCCTACTTTGCTGGCCAAGAATTCTTAATCTCAGAATACCCAGAAGACTGCAGTTCAATGTTCATCAGCATTTTTCTGCACCCATTTGTAATAGAGGCAATATTTTGCAGTTTGTATAATAAATGAGTTGGCATTCTCCAGTTTAATTTTTGTATGGCCCTGAAGGGTGAAGCTGATTTCTGTAGTATTGGAGTTCTCTTGTTTGAGTAGATTTGCTTACAGTGTTCACAGTTGTGAGAAGATTGTGATATGTGGAGTGAAAGGACAGAGCTTCCATTCTTTGCAATCTAAAATCAAGTCCATGTCGACAGACAAAATGGATGCTGTCTATTTACAGAGTAAATAATGGTGACATGTACCACTGTAAAATATCAGTTTTAATTTCATAAGGGATAACTTGAATTTTATGTATGTGAGTTACCAACCTCAGATATTTTTTTCTCTCTGAATTGATTTCAGAAGCATCATAACTAACTCACTGTCATTTTAAAATGAATATGATGTGATAAAACATTTGTATGTTGACAAAAAAAGTATTTCTAAATATGGTCAATCTGTATGCTTGTCCCAGTGGGTATTGTACACAGCCATTCATAGAATTGACTCCGTTACGATTCAGAAAATGTGGATGACGAGAGAAAGCAAGAACTCAGCAAGTGTGAGAACAAATAACAGAAGTGACTGGCATTTTGCAGTGAACATTGTTGGAGTGGAGAAGTAAATGATCTCATCAGATGTGAAAATGTGTTAACTCCTGGATCAGTGGGCACAATTTTAAAAAAAGAAAGCGTTTGATCACAGATGTGTGGTAAACTGGATATTTTGAAGCAATACAAGCTATCTCTAGTTTCTAATACAGATCCTGTTTTTCAAAATGTTTTCAATATCTTACATCTTACTTATATCTTCTTTTGTATATAGCAATTGTGCACCTGTGTGACATGAAATAACGTTTTTGGTGTAAGAAATTTGAGATGCAATCCCTTGGAGAACGACAGCTGAAATAATAAAGGATTTAACTTGACTTTTTAAAGTGATTCCTGTTTTTGAAATTTCTGCATATATTTAGTGTCAAAGAAAATTAGCTGAACATCTGTATCCAAATAAAGGCAGAATGTTCACTGTTAACTGAGCTGTTAGTTTTGTTGCCTGTTGGTGAATGTGTATCTTGTTTTGGATAGACTTCTTTTCTCCTATGGCAAATTATCTTTTTTTCTTTAAAAAAAACTTCTTGAACTTGTTCGTTAAACATTATTTTATTTGGTGTTACTTAGGTTTTGCATTTTTAAATTGTCACACTTGCTGGTCATGGATGATTTTTGTATTTCCATTTCAGGTTGAGATTTTGAATTAAGTAATGCCCCAGAAACAAATGAGTATTGCACAATTGTGCCCATTTTAATTGCTCAGAAAGTCAACTTTTACCTACATAGGTTAGGCATAAACTGGAATGACACTTAACTTCATAAATAAGATATATTGCATTGATGTTTATATAACTTGCATTTATAAAGTGCCTTTCACTTAGTTTAACTATATTCTTTACAAAATATAATTGAATAAAAATTAAGTGTATGGTCAAACAAGACAACCAATCTCACTTGGTAATCTCTTAAACTATGAGATGAGAAGCCTATTAATGTATAGATAGGGGTTAATTTAGCTTAGGAAGAGAATATAAACCAGGATAACTGGAGAAAGACTCCATGTTTCTTTGTAACAGTAATCGTAGGGTGGTTCCTTTACACTCACCTAAAATATAAAGCAGACAAAACCTAAATAACACAATGAGGAATTATGGAAATAATTGATAAAATTGTATATAATTTTGTTATGCAGGCAAATACAGCAGCTAATCTCTGCTATCAGTATCACACAAGCAATGAGTTAAAATTAACAAAATGAAAAACACTGCAGATGCTGGAAATCTGAAAACAAAAACAGAAGTCACTGGGAACACTCAGCAGGTCTGGCAGCATCTATGGAGAAAGGAAAGTGAGTCAACGTTGCGGATGCATGACTCTTCGTCAGAACCCAGTCCAGACCTGCTGAGTGTTCCCAATGACTTCTGTTTTTGAGTTAAAATTAATTTGGAGAAATAGAAAACAAAGGGGAGGAGAAAAAAGAAAAATAAACGAAAAGTAGTGAAGCATAAAATGGAGCTCAGAGAGGTGGGGAACTTAGGTACAGAATGGCAACCAATGCATGCATGTGGAGAGAGTTGCAGGCCTAGGCCCATATTTTAAAAAAAAGGTTACACTGCTTATGAGTCCTGTAGCTCAGTGTTTAGAGCACTCGCTTTGCAAGTGAGAGACCTGAGTTCAATTCCAGGCAGAGGGCGAAACCTTGGGCAAGTTTCCTTACTCCACACAGAGCCTAATAATAATCCCTCCAAAACCAAAACAATAATAAATTGGTCATTTTCAATCTACGACTGTTTGTGGGACATTGCTGTGTGCAATTGGCTGCCGCGTTCGCCCACAAATATGCAGTCAATTCACTTTACAGTATGTTCTGTGAAGCGCTTTGGGATGTCCTCCTGACGTGAAAAGCGCTATACCAAATGCTAGGATTATTATTACTTTAAATATCAACAGAAACTTGTATTTATATAGCGGCCTTCATACAGGATAGTGCCTAGGAGCGTGATATTGTACTCAGTTTGGATTTAGAAATTTATCCTTAGTCATTTACTGCTTTACAAAGTATAAATGATTATAAATGAAGTGAAGGCTGTTATTATAGACAAACATGACAATTAATCTGCCTTAGCATTATAGGTTTTATTTATGGGAAGAAACAGAGTTCTTGATTTATAATGCAAATTGGATTATAATTCTTTAGAAAGGTGATGAGATTTCATTTAAAAAAATGTTTGGCTGCTTTTAAAAATAAGCATATTAAAATACTTGGTATAACGTGTTCGGTGAAGTTGTTTTCTTTTGTTTGAACAGCGGATGAGGCGCAATTCCTGCAGTGAGTTGGAAAGCCTGGTTGCCACTCAGAAAACAGAGATAAAGTTGTTGAAAGGGAAACTTATTAAAGCGGCAACTGAAAGGCTAACTGAACGGATTGGCGGAAGTAACGAAGATTTGGAGTGGAGTATCAATCATCAAATTCAAAGAAGACGCAAGGTATTTCATCCTGCATTTATATTACAGAGCCTGAGTCTCAAAGTGATGTGGAAGTTGCCCTGTTTACATTTTGTGCAGATTCTTGAGCTCTGCAACAATAGAAAAAAGCTCTGTACCCTCAAACTTTGATGTGCACACTTCCTTTATTTTGTGCTTTTGGGAGGTGCGGGAGGTCTGAGTTTATGGATCCAGACTACTGAGTTCTAGCAGGGTTGCCCAGGATTGATTTTTTAATGTGCTTGTACTAAGATCAACACTTGATACTATTTATAATTTTAACTTTTGCTATTAATTTAAGAAATAATGAGAATTGTTAATAGGAGAAGAAAAGAGTATGGGGTTAGGCCAGATCAGTAATTAAGAGATGCACTAATTAAGAAGGAAACTGCAAATAAATAATCATCATACCAAATACATACAAAACAAAAACATTCCAAAAATTATTTTATGAGGAGGTATATTGCCACTATAGTCTTACACTATTCTCTGTCCGAATGTTTTTATTTCTGAGTCGCTCTAACTTTCTATCTCTTTGTTCCTTGCTGATTGTGCATCTTTTTGTCTGTTACCCCCACTCATTTTCTTACTCTTAAATTATTGCGCAACATATACAAAAAGGAATTAAAGACATAATTACAATGCACTATTTTGATAGTAAAAGTTGTGCACCGCACAGAAAGGATAAAGTTCCAGATGTACTGTAACTTTGCAAATGTCTCAACTATTTCAGCTACCTTACCATGTGTTGCCTAGACTTGCTAAGGAAAGGGTAATTGTCTAAATACGTAGGGATAGAAATCCAATGTAACTGAAGCGTGGATCTATGGATGTATGATGTGTGGGTCAGTGTGATTTTTTTGTGTGGCATATTGTGGCTGTGTAGGTGGGGCAGAGTGATTGAGTATGGGGTTATCTTCTATAAGTATGCAGTTTTTTTTTGAAAGCCTCAAATATACTCCCTTATTCCCATTTATCTAGTACACATGAACAATATTACTTGGAGGGGCCTATAAATAGCTTTAGGTCTTTCACCCTATTCTTTATATGTATATATATATATGTGTATTCTTAATTTTCAGCAAAATACAGAAAAAAAAGAAACCCATTGTTATTGAGTAGTTTGTTTCCTCCTCCTGTGTGTTCCCATTGTTCCCTGCTTCAGCTTTTTTAAAATCCAAGAGCTGTCCCAGGGCTGCTCAGATTATTCTTGAGGGATGAGATCAGATCAGGGCCGAATGGTATTCCATCCATTTTGCTATGCTACGTTTAGATGTAAATACTGGATTTATAACAAGGGCAGTAACGATAACATCACAGTTTGTGTTTTATGTCAGATGACTTGCATTTGACTCATTTGTTAAGATGATTCCTCACTTTGCAGCATTAAATCAATACAATAGTTTAAAAAAAAGAAAGATTCTAATAGACGGTTGTCAGGAAAAAATATTGTCCTTCAGATAGCATGACTATTTTTGGTGAACTAATTATGGAAATTGGAAGAGGTGCTCAACACTCTTCAAAGTTTTTCATCAAGAAATATGTGTTTTTTTTTCCCCGCTTTAAATACTCCAGATATGACCGATTCCTATCTGGATTTCTTCAGTTCTGTTGCATGTAATCGGAATTGCACTGCTCTCAAAAGTGAGTCTGAGACTTGAACATTCTAGAAATTCCATATATGTTTTTGTTTTGTGATTTTTTAAAAAGATATATTTTCATCCATTTTCTTGTCTTCTGAAGGCAACAACTCTTCCTCGGGTACAGCGTCACGTGTCTTACTGCCATGCTGAAGAGGCTATCCTTTAATTGGTGAATCTGGACAGTGACTCTATTTGAGACTGAGTCAGCCCAGAAGTATGTGATCTTCTTATCACATACATTTATTTCCATAATGAAACACAAGTAAAGAAACCTTGGGAAGGAGAGTTATTGCACTTAATGTATTACAGTGGAATCTGCTTTTGCCGGTTTGCCTCAGATGTCGGGTAAATCGACCAAAACTCTGGCCCCGTTTGTATTACTGGTTGTAAATATGCTTTTAATTCGGATAAAAATCTGGTTAATCCGGGCGAAATGCTTCCCTGGTCGCCGCTGAATGAACACTCTCCCGCAATCCCTCCGCCTTGCCCCCTCTCTCCTTTTTCAAGTCCCGCCCCTACCCTGTGTGGAGGGCGCGATACAAGTGCAAGTAACTCTGGAATGTAGATGGGAGGAGTCAAATAGTGATTAGCAGCACATTCCAGCCATTCACAAATGGAGGAAGTTTCGCTGCCACTCCTCTGCTGGGTATTTTGCAGCCACACAAAGCTAAATCTATTTTGCTGAATTCTGTAAGGGTCTTTTAACCTCAGCTGGTTAGTTAACAATGCTTCAAGTGAAACAACATCATTACATATTATTAAATGGCACTGCTGCAGCTCCTCTGCTGGGCGGGAATGGTATTTTAGCTAAACTTGGACGCCTCTTAAATCGGATAAAATGTCCGTTCCTAATGCGACCGGCTTAACCGGCTTCCACAGTATTCATGGATTTTCTCAGATCCAAGTTGGCTATTGCTCTGCTATTTGCCTTGACTTTAAAACCCCTCAATATCATCACATCTACAAGAAAGTAGCATATTGTTAGTATGGGTTATAGGTCTTTAGCAGACTGGAAGTGTTGTGCAGGTTGCTAGGAATTGGTAGTTTTGGAGCTGGCTTGATTGTGAACTGATTGGTTGTTATGCCATTCATCAAACAATTTGCATCTGGTTTGTTCCAATCAATTCTCCCAAACAAACCAATTTACATCTGGTTTGTTCCGACCAGTTCTCATTTCTAGTGAAATTAGTCCTGCACCCACCCACCCGCCCAATACTGAATAAAATGCCACAGGCAATTTAAGGGTGAATAGCCTGTCTGAATTTTCTAATTCAGATTCAGGATTGGAGTGATACCATAACTGGAATTGTGCGTTGATTACCTCGGCAGGAATCTGAGCTCCTGTGGTTTTCAAGGGAAAAGGTCACTAGGGTTAAAATAATTTTTACCTACAGGAGTTCATCAGGACTCTGTCCTTGGTCAAATGCAAGGATTATTATTATTATTGGTCCTCAGAGAATTATTCAACTCAACTGTCATTTAAACCCTATTTCCATGCCTTAACCAGTTCAGCTTTCTTCATGCTTTTTTTAAATTCCTATTCCATGCTTTTAACATGTCCATGCCTTTATCATGCCGGGCTTGGCTATGCAAATTCTCTGCTCTCTGGAGTTCCCGACTCTTCCCTCCACAAGATGCAGACCATTCAGAACTCCAGCTGCTCATATCCTCTCCTGCACTAGGCTCCACAAGCCTATCATTCCCATTCTCGACCCCCTCCAATGCCCATCCTCCAGAGGATCAAGTTCAAGATCCTCAGCCTCGCTTTTAAATCCCTTCCTGATCTTGCACTGCCTATCCTGTGACCTTCTAAAATTTTACCAACCTGCCCATACTCTCCATATTGGTCTGGTTCACATACTTTCCCTACTCACCCCACCATCAGGGGTCGGGCCTTCAACATTTCGATCCCCACTCTCTAGAACTCCATCCCTGAATCACTTCATCTTGCCGTTTCCTCGCCTGCAATTTCAAAGCTGCATTTAATGTTCATCTAAATGAATATAATTTACACAATGTATAGAATCTATTTCAGTTATATCAGACAGACCAAAACTGATTAAGGATCACACATTAACTACATTACTGTAAAATGGGTTATTTTCACAGGAAGTTTAAATAGTCTATACTGACTGCTACCTAAAATCTGTAACTTTAAATTTATTACTTAAAATTTCCTCTGATTGGAACCCTGAGCAGCGCTGGTAGAACTTTTTAAAAATTAGAGTGGGAGCAGAGCTGTGAGTGGGAGGAGAACTGATAACTGCTAGTTAATCTGTTGTCGTTCTCTTTTGGAAAATTATTCTTTCCAGATTCTCAGCATTCCAGCACCTTGGGACATCCTCCCAACGTGGAAGGTGCTGTACGAATTTTTGTTGTTGTTAACGAAGGGACAAAAGTGTTGTTTTCTCCATAAGTATGATACAGGTTTCAACAACTTGTGTTTATATAGTGCCCTTCATGCAGGGTAGTGTCCCGGAGCACTTGGATTAATTAGGACAGAGGTACCGTCGTGTCTCTGACTAAGCGGTTACGTGTTGAGAAAATATATTTTATAACCTGAAAGTTGTCAAAAGGTCCAGGACATAGATATTTTATGACTGAAAGGTGTCACAGATAAGGAAATGGATCCTTGGATTGCGTTCCTCCTTGGTGAGAACCAAAGATCGGAACAGTTCCTAAATACAATTGGACAATTCAACTTTGAACTGTGATTCGGCAAAATAACCTTTGAACTCTGCTTTTACCTACCAGAGTCACATGGACTGATTTTGGGAGTATAAAAGGTGAAAGTTTAGCTAAGTTTGGTGAAGAAGAGTCTGGAGAGAAGCTAGCACCCCATATTTGATGCCATGGATATTAATTTTTAGTTGTTGAGGAATGCACCCACACAAAGTTGGCATGCTCCCCTTCTGATCAGAAATTACATTTCTATCATTATGTTACTCCCTCTGGTGATTTTATTGTGGTAACATGTTCCTGTTCTCTTGGTTCCACTGTTCTGTTAAAATGATTGATTTTACTGATTATCACATTATTTTAAATGTACAGCTAGTTGCACCTCGCCAAATCTTCTTCAGACAGATCTGAAATGACAAACCTGAGGAGGAATTGAGCAGTCTTATGTATGTTTCTCATTTTATGATTGATCTTACTCTAATTAGAAATCAGTTTTATTTTTAACTTTGGTGTCCTTTTTGACCCTCAACTATCCTTCAAACCCACATTTGTGCCATGATTTTTTCTGCCTTTTCACACCTCCAAAGTTGCTCGCCTCTGCCACTGCCTCTCACTGCAGGCTGCTGAGACCCTGATCAATGCTTTCATTACATCCAGGCTTGACTACGCCAACTGCCTGCT